GATGGATTCCGAACTTTAATGCAACGAACTAGCCGCTTCTTACACCTCCACCTAATGGTCCAAAGATTAGAGTGGTATCACTGAAACTAAACAGTTATGGCGACTGTCAACCAACCAAGTCACAATAATTTTGAGATGGTTTAAGAAAATTGTTTAGTCCAATGACTGGGCAGAGTAATAGTTAAAAGTAAATACTGTGTAGAAGTAAAGTTTTAAATTTCAATAGCTAACGTTGCTGAATTCTTTAGTCACAGAGGGACCAAAACTGTAGCCTATTAGGTTTTACATGAGATGCCTGTTGTTATTTGCACATTCGCATTTATTGACGTGGTACCATAACCTGAATTAAAGCACGGATTGTTAGTAGGGTAATTCTCAAATCCGAATGAGTTTAACTGACCAATATGACCAATACTGTCCAATGACGGTATCCTGTCCTTCCTTTCTGAAATTGTCTTTAGCAGGTAAATCGTCCGTGAAAATCACCAGAAGCTTCATTTTCATTGAAGGAATCTCAATGTCAAAGTAGGAAATCGGGTGCTGCCGACTAAATGTAGTACAAAATAAAATTATTACTGCCAATTTCAGAATTCGGTCCAAGGTTTGGAATCATGCCTATGGACACTGATTTATTTTTTTTTTCTGGCACGATATTGTTTCCGAACAACTTTACAGTATTGCGTGCAAGGAAATCATCATGATACAGCAACTTTCCAACGTTATCAGAGAAAATTACAAAAGTCCTTTTTTAAGTGTCTGTTCACTCTGATTTGACAATGTGACTCGGTCCTGGCAGTCCTATAACTTCACTCAAATCTACACAAGATTGCACGATGTGAACGGGTACGTTGTATCAATCACCAATATGTACCTTTGCATCCCTCTATGATCACTGCAGTCTATGGGTCTGATGTTAGATCTCTGATCTACTGTGGCATCAGTCACCTACTATTTACAATATTTCATATTGGGATTCAGTGGAACAGATACAGAGGATGAATTATGGAGAGAATTGTGACGGAAGATAATACATCTATCGATTCTCCTTGTATAATACACAGCGCACTTCTAAAGGCCTGACTTACTCTTGTGTTTTCCTATAGCCTGACAGGTGACTGACACTTGTGACCTGGCAAATCTAATCTTTCTACATCATGAAACTTATAAGGCCATTGATTTAAGGGAGACGTTCAGAAGGCTCTTGAAATTATCTGTGAATGAGGTGGGTAAAAAAGTGTTGTCAATCCATGAAGAGCAGGGCAATGCTGAAAGCGCTAACTCTCAACATATTGGTGCATTCCACAAGTCTGACTTTATTGTCTTGCTTTCCTTCATCGCAGTCCGTAAATGTGAACCTCCCTGTGATTAAAATGACGATTTAAAATGGTAGAGAACAATTTATAATTTGTACTTGAAGAACACTGCACTCCTCCCTCTCTGTTCATTCCTCCGCCCTACTCCGGCGGTTTTAATCTCGCAGGTGCAGAAAGTGAAATCGCACTCTTTGATGGGGTGAGGGGAAGTTTAGTGCGTTTCTATCTTAAGCAACTGCTGCCAATTCCTTTGCTACTGTTTGGGCGACCTCCAGCGCTGAACGGGGCATCACTTCGGTTCATGGCTTTGCACGTTGCAGTCTCTGGAGGCCATTCCTGCTGCACGTTTTCTGAACCGGAAACGTGCCAGTCGGTGGCCCCAGTGAGTCTAGTCTGACAGAGATGTGAGGTCTGTGTTCCCACACATTCGCCCCCACCCCGCTCCCCACCCCCACCATCAACCCCCACCGCCCTAAACCTTCTAATAGGAATTGATCTCCAGTGTGTCTTGTGAGGCTCTAAATTACAAAGCAGCTCTTTGCCGAGCATATTTAAAAGCTATTATTGTAAAACTCGACTGGGTCTATTCAAAAGGCATTTGTCCTGTTAAGAGGACACTTTCAAAAGCTGCTCCTTAGGCGTGAATGTACCGTTTGGAAATCTTGGTACTTATTTTTTCTCTAAAGTTTTAAGCAAAGACCAGAATCTAACAACAATGCAGTGACTGTAACTTGTAATTGTGCTAAGTCGCTTTCGAGTGTTTTTTTCTGACCCAGGAAGCGCAGCCCCTTGAAAGTCTGCACCGTTTCAACTGTGTGTATGTGTCTATAAATAGTGCATGGCAAACAGTCTGGAAGGTTTATTTGACATGAATATAGAGGCAGACAATGTAAAGTTCATCACCAGAAAGGCAACTAATTAACAAAGGCAGCATTTTAAAACAGGCCAGGCCATACCGAACAAGCGTGGCTCGCACGTGCTGATACAAAGGATTTCGACCCTGTCATCTGTCAGCTCGGAAGCTGAAGGTAAACAATGATATAGATTATTTCACGGGTCACAGTCAGGAAAAGCAGTTAATGTCCCAGAATGGCACAAATTCATTCTGGTGTCAAGCTCGGCAACTGGAGCCCTTTATGATCAATAACTGGGCAGGATTCTTTCGGAAGCTGAACTGGGGAAGGGCGGAGGGGTCAGTTAATCTGTCAGGGACTGAAGGGCACATGAACCCACTCTTTGTTTTCAGTGATTGCTCGTGAACTATGTGATAGATTTCAAATTTGTACGCCGAAAAACACTTGAGATTAAATGCGGCCTGCTTTTTTTTGAGTAAACCTGTTCAAGGTCCTATTCGTTTTCTTGTTTTTTTATTACGTTGCCATTGAGAGGAAGAGCAAAAGCGCCCTGGTGATAGAGCGCCCGGCAGTGCAGCCGGAGAGCAGACTACAGTGTTATCCTAAATAGAAAAAAAGGTAAAACTGCAACCTATAAACGCCAGCCCTTACGGGGCTGTGTCCTTATTAGGCTTTCTACCTTTGGAAGCTCGGGATTGTGTTTCATTGAATAACTTCTTTCTTGCAAAATAAACCATTATTTATAACCGGATTTAATGTTTTAAAAGAGCTGTGGGGGTTGGGAGGTGCTGAGTGGAGACCAGGCAATGCTAAACACAGTCCACTGATCTGAACCATCACATCAGAAGCCACAGACTGGTTTAATTGGTATTAGCGAACAAACTGCTGAGCAGACCTGTTGAATTAATTTTCAAATAAGGAAAATAACAGTGGTTTGAAATTCGCAGAAAATCACATGGCATTTCACACGCCGAGACATCAACCACTAGCCCCGTTCCCTCTACAACTTGTTCCCCCATTGCAGTTCTCAGAACCAAGATCTCAGCGCCCGGCTCCACCATGTTCGGTGTATTCACGGCCTATCACTTTAAAAGTGAAGCAAATCAAACGGAGATGTTGTTTGTGACCAAATGCTACAAAGTTATTATTTTAAGACATACAGGCCCATACACATTTCACACTGAAGAAGATACTTTTTTCACATTTGCAGACTTAATTCCCAGTCCCTAGACTGAATCCGGGCACCGGGTTTAAATCGACTTTGAAACTGCTCTCGTCAAATCAATTTTGCTTTACATTTTAATCTAGAAAGTGGACGAGCAAAATCGTGTGGATTTATCGGAATTGATAGGCCCTGTGTTGAGAAACTGATTGGAGAAACTTGCCTTGATGGTTCAGTGGGCGTTGTGGAGAAAGTTACCGGCGAACCCAAATCAGAGACATTTGATTACAGTAAAACCAACACCCCCTCCCCCCACCCACCCAAACCTCATTTTACCAACCTACATTTACAAAGAAATGTGTGTAAAGCTGGTTTCAATTTGCCGATGAAACATTCTATGCAATTGCTTTTTTTTTCGGCCAAAGAGCAGGTGTTCGACAAGTGACAACCCAAAAGAGACCTTATATATTTTTTTACCTATTTTTAAACAACTTCTCTGGGTTTCTTCTTGCTACGCCAAGTTTCACCGGCAAGTTTTATATCAATGTTTATCAACAAACCGAACAGGGCGGGTCAATTTCAGTTCTCTATAAAGGCCTCCTATATTCTGTTTTCACATTTGGAGTTCATGTTTAAGCTGTAGCGGGAGACGGTTATTTCAAAAATATCCGGGACAAGGGTTGGGGTAAGATTTTTTTTTTAATCAACAAGTCAATTTCTATTTTCTATTCATCTCCGAAACTGAACGACCGGTATCGCCCACACCCGCGGCGCGTCTATTGAACAGTCGAGATACTTAATTTTAAAAAATACAATCGACATGAATTGAGCAAAGAAAAGAACGGGGCAACCGTTTCAGGCAGTTGCACGCGCTTTAGCTATTTTAATATTGAAAAACAGCAAAATAAAATCTACAAATAACCCCCCAATCGGCCCGCGCGCACACACACACACACACACACACACAAGCAGCGCCAATGTCCCTCTCGCACATGAAAACAGAGGTTTGCGGTGAACTGCGGGACTTCTTTTTAGTGCTTTTTTTCTCTCAGTACATTCAGCTGTAGACCTGGTTTCAGTAGGTTTGCGTCGTGCGTACTGATGGCAACCGTCACGTTGCAAATATTCAATGGAAACCAAACTACTCTTTGATCTCAAACATGAACCAAAAGTATTGCTTTAAATGATGTAACTGCTGACTCTGCGCAGCGATCTTTGATTATCTTTCGAGATCAGCGAGACTGCGGGTGGGTTTGTATCCCAGTTTGCCACAAAGGATGAAAAGGCCACCACGTTCAGTTGTGAAGGGGAAACTACTCTCAAATCAGCATCAAACCAGATAATCAACCACCAACCTGCTCAATTCAGACAGGCAGTGCATGCACCGATATTCGCACCCAGAGATACATTTCCTCTTTGTTTACGTTCGGTGTTCACTTTAAATTGTCAAAATTCACTTTAAATATTCCCCAAGATTTGAACGACAATTCACCATCACTTGATTATTTCAAATTCTTTGACTTTTAAACAAGTGTCTAAACACTTCAGATAGTTTTACACGGATATTGTTTAATTGTAAACTAAACACAAGGCTGGTAGTCAGGCAGTCATTTCTTGCTTTTACGTTCTGTTTCACAGAAAGATTTGATTTTTTTTTAAAAATGAACCTACCTGATCGGACACTCCTGAGCGCGCTGCTATTTTTTTCCATGCTGGTTCTGGGATTTCGAGTCCTTTGTGAAAAGATTGGAAGAAAAGTTGCCCCGTTTCGGTGTGTGTGCGTGTTTTGTCGGCTCCGAATAATTTGACTCTTCCGCTACCCCGTCGCGTCTTTGGTGCTGCCCATTGATCCGAAACTAAACGTTTTAGGTGGAGAAAAGGCTCTGAACAAACCGTGAAATGATTAAGGAACTAAAAGAGCTCGCTACATGTGAGATCATGTCCTGTTCGCCTTTAGAGAGAGAAAAAAAATCGCAAAGTCCCTCGACACAAGCGAAAAGAAAGTAAAACTCTTACATCTGCCGGACAAATCACTCCCACCTATGGGGTTCCGGGTAACTTTGACATTGTCTCTCTCTCACTCTCTCTCTCGCCTCCTATCTCCTGGTTTCGGCCCGCGAATCAGTCCGATTGTAATGCCCGGCATCTGCAAATATTTTCCACAGTTTGAGGATTGGGATTCTGAAACGCTACATCACAAGCCGACCAAAGCATTGCTCTCTAACATTCTGAATAATTAAAAGCTTTTTTTCCCATCACTTCATTCATTGTCTCCCGCTACAACATCGCCCCCACCCCCCCCCCCCCCCACCACTCCGCCCTTCTTTAATTTGCCTCGAGAAACCAAATACTTTCTACTAAATCTCAGGAGCAATAATGGAAACAAATCCGTAGCCGTCCTTCGAAGCCCAGTCGGCTCTGTGCACCCACTTGCCTGATTTCGGTTCATTCCTTAAATATAGCGCAGAGGTTGTTTACAAATTGTATCGAATTGATTCTCTTTTCATAGGAGTTGGGGGTGGGAAGAGATAATCAACTGAATGCCCTTCCCCGCCCTTTGTTTCAGACCGGATACTTTCTTGATATATTAAAACAAGATTTTGCTTCTAAACGATTGCTGCACTTACAGATAGGAAGAGAAACAATTTGCCGCGCTTCTGTCTTCAGCCCTTTCTGAAATAGTGCCAAATATTGAGGTACGGAGAATAGTAGTAACTGAGACAGGTAATCACACTTGTACCACTAATGTACGGGTCCCACCGCATTTCAACATTAGACTGTGACCTCCGTGTAACTTTATCGCCTTTTGTGTCACAACCTGGATTTATTAAGGGAGCGGGGGTGGTGAATGTTTACATCGCTTTGCAGAAGCACAAATGGTACTGATTTCAGTCAAATTAAAACTCAAGTGAGTGGAACCCGGGTCAGTTTGACAGTGCTCGCAACTTTCCCGTGTTCTCTATATTTTACACATTTAACCAATGACACATCGCAAAAGCAAACTTATTATACGTAAACTACCGAGATAACATATTTTAGCTGGATATAATATCATGGGAAACCTCAAAGTAAATGTTAAAGGATAAATCTACCAACGCTTTTCAATTCATATTTCTCTGACTTGTACTTATATATTTTTAGTGTATGTTAAAAAGGGCCAGACAACTTGCCAAAAATGTTTATGAACAAAAATGCATTTCCTTTTTATATAAAAGCCTGCAATCCTAAAATACTGTAGTTCAGAACACGGAATGTCTTTTATTGGAAACATTTGCTGCCAAACTCTACTTCTGAATCTACCGGTCTCTAAAGCGCGGAACGGTTTACAGGTAAAATCCAAAGGATGCTAAAATACTCGTTCTGAACTAGTCAGGCTCAAGAGCAAAGTCTGTAGGGAGGACCTTGTCTTTGTTCTAGTCCAAAAGGCATCAGGTGATGCGTCTTAATCGTTTATTTAAATGTCAGGGCTCATCAATGAACTAAAACAGGTATGCTAAGACAGGATCGCCATTAAAATCTGAACCATATTGGTTTAATTTAAATGAAATGATTGCACTCTGCATCAAACAATTGAAAATAATTATTGAGCAATTGACACAGAATCGCGGCGTTTGAAAGTTTCTGAGCCAGTTAGATATCGACTGCAAAACATATGTAACAGACCGAACCAAGCTCATAGATTTTGGCCAGCGCTTGGTTTAAAACAATCTAACCAGGGAATGTTGTCAAATTAGAAAGTTTATGAAGATTACAATGTTGACAGTGGAAAATTATCCTTCCTAAAATATTTAAAAGGAGATACGTGACCTTTTATCTTAAGATTATCCACTTTTAATCATTTTATTAATAGCATAAAACCAATACAACTGCTGAAGTTGACTGATAGTTCTCTTCCTGATAAGTGGAAGGGCAATTTAATGAATGGTCAAAATAATACAAGTTCACTGACAAGTTGTATTGTAACCTTCCAAGCTAACTCCGAACTTAAGAAATAAATGATCATGCCCGCTGTCATCTTAATTATGAATCAATTCTATTTCCCACCCCCCACCCCCAGCTGTTTAACATTCTCACAGGTCTCGAACGGGGTCTAGATTCCTGGGTTTGCTCAAGATCATAAAACATGGAAATCCACTGAACTAAGTAAAACACGTCAAACGTATTTGCACACATAATTCATCCCAAAAACAGTTAAAACTTGCGTTTTACCAAGTCACTAAACCCCATGATCCTTGCAGTTAACTAGTATTTTGAAATGCAATGTGCGAGTATAACGCTATAAGCTGCGTCCACCTACTGACACAAGTATTGAAAATATATAACTGATTAATAAGTATCTGAAATATGATCGATAGTGAGTTGTACACAGTACATTAAAATGTGTTATGTTTCGTTTCGTCGCTGATATCAGCCTACAGTAATTACATGAACCCATTAACATCACTGCTTCTGTCTATCCCTTAATAAGTAATTGTATGAAGCGGGACAAAATGGTTACCACATTTTATTGTCTCGTGAATTAACCTATACAATTAACATTTATCAGTATATCAACGAAACTGAAGTAAAACACACATCATGTCAAGCTCAATCTGACGTATCTGCTTTTGTTTTAATAGAGCTGCGCTTCTCCAGAACACATCGTCTTCAGCCTTCGTAGCCTCAAATGCTTATTCAAAACTTTAAACAGGCTTCACTGAAAACAATGACCCTGCCCACAACGTGGCTAGATTAGATTTCTTTTTCACAAGTGGCTAAATGATAATGATCATTTTCAATTCGTTCTTTAAATTTGTGAAGAAGGTAGCCGTCGGTATTAATTCAGATGTTTCTCTCCAGCCGTGAGAGTTTGGCTATCAGTTTCCCCGTCATACGCCAGTTAACAACGCAGGGATACAGGAATACATTTTTATTATTTTTCAAAATGTATCTGTGTTCACGTTTCGCCCGCTGCGCCGAAGATAAAACTAAAAGCCCAATGGCAGTCTAACTGTCACCAAATTTCACTTTTACCTGATGGAGTTCGTTAATCCAAATGCTGATGATTCAACAGTCTCGTTGAGAGGTTTGGAAAAAGGCAAACGGGACTAAGAAGTGTCAGGATTGTTGGTCTGGAGCCGTGGAAGCAATTGATAGGAAAATGTGGTCGAGTTGTGTAAGTCTGTGAAGTCCTAAATTCAAGGGTTGACAACCGATGTTGTTCACTTGAAATGTAACAGTTCAATTTGATCCGAATTCGCATCTCTCACACAAATCTTTTCACAAGATTACACTGATCACAAGATTACTCCACTAGCTTTAGAAGAAAGTTTTAGAGAAAATTCCAAATCTTAAAAAAAAATCTGGTCCACTGATCCAGTTGGTAAATATGACATTTGATCTGCGACAGTATTTCCATTGGGATTTTTCTTGACGGGGGTAGGGTCTAGGAACAGAACCAGAGGTGATAATCGAAACTGAAATATATAGATTTACATCACTCTTGAAAAGCAAACTAATGAACGACAGTCACCTGGACAGCATAGTTGGAATAATCTTTTGCACCGAGTCAATAAACAGCAAGATAAACAGGGCAGTCACATTCTTCGTGGTTACCTTCTCAGTTTGTTTTAATTCTGCACCTTATATTTAGGCACTGGGATATCTTCACTTTACACTGTCGGCAAGTATTTCTAGATATTTCCAGACCTTTCAGTTGCATAACTCTAGCTCCTAATAAAATATATCAACACAACAAATATTAATAAATTCACACAAAGTCTAAGAGTTTTATTTTATCCAAATTAAATACACAATGTGCAAAAACGTTAAAATTCAATTTAGTATAGGTGATCTATACAAGACTTTTAACCTCACTTACTATTTCGGTATGGTTGTATTTCAACATTAAATAATGTTTCATTGTTCTTAAGTCATAAGAATCAGTGTCTCTAGGTGTGAGGCTGGAAAAGCACAGCAGGTCAGACAGCATCCAAGGAGCAGATAAGTCAACCTTTCCGGAGGAGAACCTTCATCAGGACTAGGGAGGGGGAGGGAAGCCCAGAAATAAATAGAGGGAGGCAGTGGGGCTAAGGAAAGGGTAAGAGAGATGGTGATTAGTGGTTGCAGATCAGGGGTTATTGTGATTGGTCCTCCTGGGATGGGTGGAGTGCTTAGGTGAATAGGAAGGTGGACAGGTTAGATCACGTCTGGAGTGGAAGGGCAGGATATGGGATCAGGCCGAGAGTGGAGGGATTTTGAACCTGGTGAAGTCAATGTTAAGGCCATTAGGCTGTAAGGTCCCAAGGTGAAATATCAGGTGTTGTTCCTTCAGGTTATGTTTGGCCTCACTCTGACAGTGAAGGAGGCCAAGGATGGACATGTCACCAGGGGAGTGGGAGGAGGAATTAAAATGGATGGCAACCGGAAGGTCAGGTTGGTTGTTGTGTGCAGAGTGCAGATGATCCACGAACTGGTCCCCGAGTCTGCCTTTGGTCTCCCCGATATAGAGGAGACCACATTGGGAAGAACAGATGCAATAAATAAAGTTGATCTGGGCCTTAGACAGAGGTGAGCGAGGCGGTGTGGGGACAGGTGTTGCATCTCTCGCGGTTGCAGAGAAACATACCGGGTGTGGTGGAGGCATTGTTGGGGAGTGTAGAGCTGAGGAGGGAGTCACGGAATGAACAGAACCTGCAGAAAGCAGACAGGGGTGGGGAGGCAAGTATCTTTTTGGTGGTGGGGCGTGATTGTAGATTGCAGAAATGTCGGAGGATAATGCATTAGATTGGAGATTGGTGGGGTGGG